CGCAAGTGACTTACGTCGTAACCTACGCAAGTGACTTACGCCATAACCTAGGCAAGTGGCCTATGCCGTAACCTACGCAAGTGACTTACGCCATAACCTAGGCAAGTGGCCTATGCCATTACCTATGCAAGTGGCCTACGCCGTAAGCTACAGAAGAGGCCTATGCCCTGACCTACACCGTTGCGAGCATTTATACTTGTGTGCTGGTTCGGAATAATAAGTCACTTTTTATGCATTTTCCCTTCTAAAGTTAGTATCTATACTATACTTTTAACATTTTTAAGTCTTGTAAAGTATGAATAAGTAATGGAGGTAAGTGTAACCGGCGCTGTCATCCTGAGTGTTTTATAGACCTGTTGCTATGATGCCTAGGGTGGGTTATTTAATGCTATATTTAAATAACATTTCAGTTTCAATCAGCGATACAAGTACACCTGGGACGTATGCTTTCTTTGCTCAAAAAAAAAAACACGACCAAGCGGACTAATCGCAGCTGTTGCGGTCTGCGTGGCTGCGATGTGTAGTGACATTTTCGGGGAGATGTGCATCAGGCTACAGCATAGGACCCACAAACTTATGGCACTGATTCAATACAAAAGTATACATCAGCCTTAAATCAGATTCACAGAGCATAATCGGGTTCAGTAAATAAAATCTCAGAAATTTCCCCATACTGTCTCTCAGTGCTAAAACACAGTATTTCTAAAACATGGTGAATCATCTTCTTAAATTAGACACATTAATTACATAACCACAAACAAGGTTAAAGTAAAAAGCAACTAATACTCAAGTCTGCTGTGATAGGACACAAAGTAAGAAGAGACTCCACCACTAGGTCCAATCACATCTACAGTAAGTGCTACTGCTTATTTGCAATCAGCATTTTCCAAACAAGAGGAGAATTGGCTAGTGCCAAGAAATCAGAGTGGAAGAGTCAGGAAGAAGGCAAGCATCACCAAGAGTAAGGCCTACAGCGGCAAGAAGAAGCTAAGGAAGGGGAAAACAAAGTCTGAGAAATTAAGATTGATGCAAGTCAGAGAGGGTCTGCAGGTTCTGAACTACATCCTGCCAAATGAGCCAGTCCAGGAGGCAGAAAGTAACCAAGTCAGGCCTTAAAGACTGACCAAATATGTAGAGCAAGTGTGTATTTTGTAGGTGAGGAAGAGTGAAGAAGCCATGTCAGCTGCAGAAGTACCATTTATGGCTTTAGCCATAACACTGTCTCCTTTTCTCAAAGTCCTGAATGAGGGAAAAGGATGAAAGGGGTCCACAGTCGCTCTGCACTGGGAAACGAGGTGTAAAAAACAAAGCTTTCCACACAGAGCCACCTTTGTTGCACAGGTTCAAAACTGTTCCCATGACAACAAATTCCAGCCCTGGATTTCCCTGCAAGAATGTTTCTGAATAATAAACTACTGAGAAAAGAGGCAAGAGGATCGTTGCAGAAAGGATGCCTTCTCCAGCTGCTACAGCTGAACAGCGATAAAGCCCAAACAAAACTCTGATTATAAAAAGGATAATTCACTTCAGAGATATGCAGCAACAAAAGGATCCCATTGAGAAGCTCAAGCAGATGCAGCTACAGGACGAGGAGGCTGAATGATGCATCCCACTCAGTGATGGGGTGCAACTACAGGGCGAAGAGGCCAAAAGCCACATCTGACTGAGTAATGGGGGGCAGCTACACGGCGAACGCTGTGTCCCACTGTGTAATGAGATGCCGCTACAGGCTGAGGAGGCTGAACACCACGTCTGCCTGAGTAATGGGGGGCAGCTACAGGACGAGGAGGCCGAAAACATCCACTGAGGAATGGGGTGTAGCTACTGGGTGAGGAGGCCCAATGCCCTGTCCCACTGAGTAACGAGGTGCTGCTACAGGACAGTGAGGCCAAATGATGTGTCCCAAAGAGGTGCCATGTCTGAGTGAGTAATGGGAGCAGCTACAGGGCAAGGAGACCAAACACCATGTTCCACTGAGTGTTGGGGGGTAGCTACAGGGTGACGAGGCCGAACGCCACGTTGGACTGAGTAATACGAGCAGCTACAGGGCAAGGAGGCCAAATGATGTGTCCCACTGAGTAACGGGGTGCAGCTACAGGGCGAACAGGCCCAACACTGTGTCCTACTGAGTAACAGGGGCAGCTACAGGGTGAGGGGGCCAAACACCACATCTCACTGAGTAATGGGGTGCAGCTACAAGGTGAGAAGGCCAAATGCTGCATCCCACTGAGTAACTGGGGGCAGCTACATGGCAAGGAGGCCCAACACTGTGTCCCACTAAATAATGGAATGCAGCTACATGGTGAGGAGGCCCAAAACTGTGTCCGACCAAATAACAGGATGCAGCTACAGGGCGAGGAGGTCCAACACTGTGTCCTACTGAGTAACAGGGGACAGCTACAGGGTGAGAAGGCTGAGTGCTGCATCCCACTGAGTAACTGGGGGCAGCTACAGGACAAGGAGGCCAAACAATGTGTCCCACTGCGTAACAGAGTTCACATGTACATTGTGTTGTGCCCATGGCCAAGACACAGCATTTAAAGGATGCAGAAGTACATAAAACAACTGCAGCTGTTAAGAAAAAATAGGCCATTTATCTATAAAGCCAAAATCCTGTTATTTAAATATTTCTGTTAATTACAATGATGGTCCCACCTCAGGACCCTGGCACGCTAAGCCAAGCTACAAACGAATAACAGCGTTAACACCACTAGTTTGGAAATAGTCATTCCTGTCAGTGAATCCCCTGTCACCTGTAAACAAGGCCAGGCTTTATGACTGATAGATGGTCTCTGTAGCTGTCGGGAGGCCTGCCTGTACAGCACAGCTTCACCCACGGCAGGGACAGGCTGCATGGGTCTTCTGCGATTAGATTACACATTGCCCTCATTGCTCTCTGTAACATACAAACTAGGCAGTGGCTAAATTCATTAGGAAGAAAAGTAGATGATTTTTATTAGATATCACCTTTATCTCTTTTGAAGACATGTAATTTCATGCAATAATTTGGTTTTAAGTAAATAAATACACACACAATTTCACTAGTAGCTGAAAGGTCACCTGACCAAAAAGAAGGGGAAAGAGCGCCTGCAGGAGTATTGTGCAGAAGGTTATAATGGGGATAAGGCGGCAGCATCCTGCTTAGGTACGAATGTGTCCACTAATCCAACAGCTACACCAGCGCAATCCACCTGATAATGTAAAGACTCGTTTTAACTAAACTGTCACCATCAACTTCAGCAGCTGCCAACACGACATTCAGTGAGCACAATAAGTAGAAAATGAGCTAGAAGTTACATTTTGGAAAAAAAACATAAGACAGAATGGAAAGGACCAAGAGTCCTATTAAATATAATCTGGTATTTTCAGGTCATCACTAGAGTAAAACGGATGGCAAACACGTGGATCTGTGTGGGTAGGACTCACCAGTACAATAATTCATGAGAACAACAAAGGTAATTCATGTTTTCATTTGTGTTATTGCCTGGCTGTTATGATTTTACAGTCTGAAGGACAGAAAAAAACTCCAATGACCACAGTGACTTTGGGTAAAAGCCAGTCATCTAAGGATACACTGCAATCACAACTGTAACAAAAAGCCAACAACAGCGCTACACCTGTGATATACATATAAATCTGTAATCATGACAATATACTGTAATGAAAAGTATAGACAATGTACAGAAAGGTACAAAATAGACATAACAAATAAACATTAATGTACAGATGGGATAATATAAACACAGTGAACTAAAGATGAGGTGGAGATGAGTCAAAAACTAAAAACAGTAAATAAAAAGTGATGTGGAGGCGGGTAAACAAAGACAACTAAATACAAGATGATCTGGAGACAGGTAAAAATAAAGATAAGTAAATAAAGGTTATTTTGAGACAGGTTAAAATAAACACAGTAAATAAAAGATGTTGGGGCGGGTAAAAATAAAGACAAGTAAATAAAAGGTGTTGTGAAGAAGGGCTAAAATAATCACAATAAATAAAAGCTGATGTGGGAATGGGTTAATATAATCACTGTAAAAGATGATGTGGAAGCGGGCAAAAATAAAGACAAGTAAATAAAAGGTGATGTGGATATACGTCAAAATAAAGTAAATAACATGTGATGTGGAGACAGGCTAAAATAATCACATTAAATAAAAGCTTTAGTGGAGACGGGTAAAAATAATCACAGTAAATAAAAGGCGATGTGGAGACAGGTTAAAATAAACACAGTTAATAAAAGGTGATGTAGAGACCGGTAAAAATAAACACAGTTAATAAAAGGTGATGTGAAGATGGGAAAATACCCAGTAAATGAAGTGTGACGTCGAGACCGGTAAAAATGAACATAGTAAATAAAAGCTGATGTGTAGTTCAATTAAAATAGTCACAGTAAATAAGCAGTGATGTGGGGACGGGTTCAAATAAATACAGCAAATAAAATGCGATGTGGAGACAAACACAATACACAAAATGCGATGTGGAGACAGGTTAAAATAAATTAAGTAAATAAAAGGACATACAGTGCTGAGTCAAATTAAACACAGAAAATAAATAATGATACACGGATTTAGACGAAGACATCGTTACTACAAAGAGGAAGGTTAACACGAAGGAGGCACACTGGGCTCTTGCCTTGCACAGGTGCGCAGCCCCGCAGCCGCAGCCCCTCCTAGGGCAGCATCCTCCGGCGGCGCTCGGTGTCTTCGGTGGAGCTACGGGAGGCCGGCAGCCCGTAGGCGCATAACACGGCCGGGCTTCACTTCGGGCCGCCGGCGGACGGAGCACTCATTTCAAACGGCTGAAAACGGTGCAATTCAGGCACAAAGCGGGCGACCCCCCCCATCCCGGCTGGGCGGCTTCGCGGCGTGTCTCCGCCGACGCGAGCCCGGCTGAGTTCGCTGTGGGTCCGCCGGGCGGTCACAGGGCGGTCACGAAGCGGCCAAAGAGCGGTCACAGAGTGCTTATGGACGACCACAGACAATCAAATACGCTGCTGTAGAGGTCTGAAGAATAAAGGCGGGGGGGGGGGGGCGATCTCGGGGATACGGAGCGCCGGATGGCTCAAACGGTAAGTACCGCGATCTTCCGCAAGGGTGTGCTACCACTTTGCGAAAACCCACGTCTCTGCAGCTTGTCTTTTTTATTAAACATTTTACATATAATATGGCTTCATAATCATGGCCATTAAGTACATTAAATTCCACCTGTATTTTGAGCCCATATTTGATATTGAATCAGTGATTCTAATATTTTGCATTTAGAGAATGAAGTATTTACTATATACTTATAGTGTTACTATTTCCATTACAGATATTGTCTTAATTTAACTTTTTGGATAGGTATTGACAGTTCCTTGGGTGGCGTGGTGGCTCTGTGGGGAGCACTGCTTCCTCACTCCTCTAGGCTTGGAGGATTGGAGTGTGGAGAGCAATCCAAAAACAGCATAGGGCTGCAGTAACATGCAATCATACGTGGCTAGCGTAACTAACAGAATTAGCTCCCAATGAATAAGTTTCTCATCTGTACTGGAGGCCTGTTCAACACAAGTACATACGATTTTAGATGGGGTTTGTGTTAGGGTGCTAAGTAAAAGACATAACAGATATGAGCAACCAGATGCTACATGAGCAGAACCACAGGAAAGAGTCTCAATCATCCAGCCTGGGAGCACAAACAGCATTCAGGCATCCCTGTGTGTGTACACATCAATGTACCAAATGACCAAGATATCTTCAGCTGTATTTGCAGGATAGCAACTCTGCCAGTTAAAGATACAGTAGTACCTCAGTTCTCGAACTCATTAGAACTCGAATTACTTAAAAGTAGAACCAACCAGTTCGGAAAAAAATTACCTAGTACTCGATCTGAATCTCAGAAGTCAAACCATGAACGCCGACCTAAGATAACTTGTAGGCACGGGGAAATGAGTCACGCAGCACGTCTCTCAGCGGAAACAAAGGGTAACGCTTCAGTCTCAGCCTCGCATTCGCTGTGATAGCATCGTGCATGTTTACACTAGCTGAATACATATATTTAGACAGTAAAAATACATTTACACAATGATAGACAGTAACAGTAATTATATAATAAAATACATTTAAAAATAAAGATTTCTTATTCATTATTTTAATATTATTAATAAACAACAACAACAAATTTATTTTTGTATAGCGCATTATCACAACATTACATCGTCTCAAAGCGCTTTACAGCATCCCCACCCAAAGCCCCCAGTGAGTAAGCCATAGGCGACAGTGGCAAGGAAAAACTCCCGAGAAGGAAGAAACCTTGGGAGGGACCAGACTCAAAGGGGGGGAGCCCATCCTCCAGGGGCCGGCAGGGAGAGTCAGGTACAGTAAATTTTGAGACACAAACGGGGAGCAGGGGGGAGATGGCAAGCCGGTGCCAATGCTCCCTCCAATCGCCAGGCAACCAGAAGGCAGGGAGCGGTTCATACAAGGAAGATGACACAGGCAGAACGGCAAGCTGGATGCACGGACGTCATTGGTAGAGCCAACATCACATGTAGCAGGGTGTGCTGAACATCTTGATAGAGTGAGGGCTCCAGGCAGCACCCCCCAGGAGAAGTAGGGGAAATAAAATATGCAATTAGTCAAAGTAGGGGAGACTATAGACAGTGCTAAGAGTTAGATGAGTGCAATATGGAGTGCAATGTGCAAGCTCCGGCAGATATG